TATATAATAATAAATATACTTATTAAAAATAGATAAATATGTATTACAGTTTATTAAAACAAAATTTGTGTGTAGACAATATTTAAGATAATTACTTTTTTCTGTCTTTGCTCAAAATAACTTATAGTGAATTTAACGAGTTTTACAACTAGAAGCCTCGAATATAATCATTTCTAAGAAACTTTTTAAGAATCAGAAACTCGTTAAGGCTGCACAGAGAAATGTTTGAGAGGCAAAAGTTACACGGGCAACAAATCAGTCGACGCCTTCTTACCTCGAGATAGATTTTATTATTACTTTAAAAATTAAATTAATAAAAAATTACTATCGACGATCTGTACTGTCATATTTAAACCTATGTATAAGTAATGAGGTAGAAGCTAGCTTAACATTGAAGATCATTCACGTTTCAGCTTCACGAATTAAACTGATGAAATAGAGCATTCAAGAGAAGAATAAGGGAAAGGCGGAGAAAGGCAAAGAGGATGTTCTGCGAGTAGAAGATGGAAGAAAGGCGTAAATCAACTAGTTCGCCCTCCAGCAGCTGCCCTTGACAGATCGAGCGTTCCACCCAAGCTTTCTTACCCCTCGATCTCGGGCAAAAAGAAAGAGAATGGAACGTTGGCGTACGTTGCATACGCCTTCGCGTATAGCATCGTATTAATTTCACATATTATCTCATTCGTATTACGTTTGAAACATTGCTCGCATAACATTCAGCGCGCAAAATTAAATTAGTTGCAAACCTACGTGCAGGTATGAAGAATTTTCTATTTCGAGTTTTATATTACATTTATTATATTAGTTTTATATTATGTTAAAGAGAAAAATTGGATTGGTTTTATGTTACGCTAAAGAAAAATATTATAAGAGATGACGAAAAAACTGCCATGGCGTATATATAACAAAAAAAAAACGGACAAAAAAAAATAAAAAAATAAACTGTCTCGCTTAAAGCTTTTGAATATATAACGATGTGTAATGGTTGTTTTAGACACACTGCATGTTACGTAAGTAGCATGTAGAAAGATCTCGGAAAGAAAATGGGATAAAAGGATATGTATATTCACAAAAAGGAACACGCCGCGGAGATGAATGCCGTTATATAGAAGAAAGTTGGATTTAAAAAAACCAAGATACTGAAAAGACGGACATGCCGATGACGTCGAGAAAAGATAGAGAAAAAGGATACGGAGAAGAGGGGAGAGAGGGAAATGTTTAAGGGTCGGTTAAAGAATTCACATTCGAATAACCCGGATACCGCAAAAGACGCATCTACTTGTCCCTTCCTGTCTCACCGACGACCACACGGATGCTTTATCATCCCGCCAAACCTTTGCGGCAAGGTCCTTTGAGAGCAACGCGTCGAGTGCTCTCCTAAGAATGCGGCGAGCGTTACTGTTAGAACGTTAAAAGCACTTGTTGCCAACATTGTTATCGTTACCGTTAACACCGCTCGGTGTTTCCGGCTTTTTCACATTCGCCGCGTAAGCAGATGCTCGAATTCCACTTCTCGAATCGAGTATACATCCTCCGTCACGTGAAAGATATCAACGACCGTTCAATTAACAATATCGATACGCACAATCTTGACTTTTCCTATGTTAAAAAAAGCTTATGTAGAGACACGGAACAAAAAGGGATACTTTATCGTTGGGAAAAAAAGAACTCACGTTCGCGGCAACGAATGAACGGAATGTCCAGGGCGAGTCGTGTACTGCATACGCAAGAGATCGGTTTATCCATCAGGAGGCCAGTGCAACAACTCGCGTAACATTGATCCAGTCGTTCTAACACGACCGAAATTTTCCCCGACGATCGGCATCCGGGGACAGATCACATGCCATTTGCCGTTCCAACAACCACTCTCGCACGCGAGGATAGACATCCGTCACGCGTGACGCGCGCGGTGCATAGTCGTATAAACACTTGTTTTATTATATTTCATTTAACCGGAAATGCGCGTTTTCGAATTTGTCCCCGATATCCGTTGACGCGTCACCGTTTAATCCCTGGCTGGCAAAAATGGCCGTTGAAATCGCTCGCGGCGAGAATTTGTAACGGGAAGGGTTAAATCTCCCTCGCGGTGACATGGGAGATTAAATACGTATCGTGTGCGAAAATCAAGCGGCGCTCACTGACGTGAATTTTTCGAATTTTTACGAGCGTTGCGTTCATACTTTACTTATCGCGCAAAAAAATATAATCGAATGATGCGAAATATCCGCGAATAGAAAAATATCTTTAAAGATATTCGCCTCAAATATTCGACATCAATGCTTAATAAACGAATTTTCACAATTGTTTTTCTTCTCCAACTGTCATTCAACGGACTTTATAAAATTTTTTTTACGCGCGTAGCTAAATATATGAAAAATTATTAAATTATTCGTATGTGTTTTGCGCGTTGCCGCTGCATATTTGAATTTAAAGAAGCAATAAGGTTTTCTCGTCAAGCCGGCAAAGTTGGAGTATTATTTCGCGATATACAGAGACTAACAGGAAGAATGCATTTGTGTACAACATAATCCATTTTCTCAGCCAACGTATCATTTTGGCTTATATCATTTTTAGCGCACAAGCCAAGCCGTCAGCTTATCGCGTACCTAACCATTCCGGTTTTCCCTCTTTCTCTCTCTCAGCCAAATATGGCCTTTTTTACCACGTCGTGGAATTTAATTCGAACATAAAGCGCAAAATTTATCCTCAAATTCTTCCACACGCAACTTTACCCACTCGAGCTCCACCTCCTTCGCGTTCGACCCAGAAACTTTTTTTTTCCCCTTATGGATTCGCAGTGAATTTCGCAGCGGCAGTGTGTGGAGAAATTTAAGAGAACTTTCAGTCTATTTTTTGTTTCTTTTCTCATTGATTTTATTCTCTCTTCTTCTCTTTTCTCCATTTTTTACGGCATGTTGTATGAGTAAAGCGATACGCATGCGGTTTGCGCACTTTCCTGAGTACGTGCATCTTTTAACGTCAGAACCGAGAAACAGTTGGTAACAGTGTGGTTTTACGAAGATCGTAAAAGGATTGTGGTGTGAAATTTACCTAACGGAATGCGCAACGAGGTAGAAAAAAAAGAATTTAAAACCTGCAGTTTCGTGAGTCATTACGCAAGCATAAACGCTGTCATAATAATTCGATAATTATTCAGCGAAATTTTTTTATCTCTTATTTTTATCTCTCATCTGTGAAAAAATCCTTATATCTGATGAGAAATTTTTATTGCTTCGGTATCTCACGAATTATATTTATTCAATCAGAATAGAAGAACAAAAGGAACAACGTTCCTTGATATACACATTACGGAAGTATCCTCAAACTGAATTCATTATACGGCGGAGCTTTGTCTACCATTGCTCTTCTGTTCTTCATTTCAGGCAATAAGTACTCTGTTCTTCAGCTCTTTTTATCGGGGAAAAGAGCTTGCTCCTAGATCCAACAGAATCGGACAATTTTATCAAAGCTCAAAAGATTTTCGCCTTTGCGAATTTTACTTATTT